CTGGGATTGCTGTCAGCCACCCAGACCCACGAGGGCTGCTTTTGGTGGCAGCTCTGTAAATTCACTGGAAATCATTGTCTGGTGTTGAGCCCTCGCTCAACAACACATACAAGCTTGATCCGTGACTTTCCATGCTCTGCAGAAGGTAGGACTTAGGACCAACAAGGCTCCTTCTTGGCTTTTAGCAAGACAGATAACCAGCATGAAGCAGAAATAGCTTTTAAATGTTTCCACACTACTTTGTGCTGAACCAAAGTCATTCACAGCACTGTATAAAGCAGTCCCTCAGCATCCAGCATCATTCAGTGCTCTTACTTGGCCAGATTTGAGCTTCATTCAAGACATCAACTCTCTGCTCTGGACAGTAGTCAACCCAGCCAGTGGAAAGAGGCTGAGGACTTCTGGCCACAGATATGGAGAAGGGAACAGCAGCAGCCTTTCTCCCTGAACTCTCTCCCTCCACTGAATGAACTGGCTACCTCAATCTGATGGACGTTGTGACGGTAAGTTTTCAACATCATCCTGATTTGCTCCTCCATTCTCTCCAAAAGCAGGTGGATGTCATCTGACTGCTTCTTAATGGTTTGCACGTATTGCTCATCTTTGTTTTTCAGCTCCTGGAGGAGGACAGCAGATGCTGAAATCAGAGAGAATATTTTACTAGGGGATAACAGAGAACATAGGACCCAGATGCTGCCTTTTCCAAAGGAGAAGAGGTGACAAGGACAAAAGGCCATGAGGTATTTAGGAGGAAAGGAGGGAGGAGAGACAGATCACCACCAAAGGTCACAGCAGGTGAGAAGATGGAGTGGGAGGTGACACACCTGCAGGCAGGCCACTCCTGCTCCTGAGGGCTAAGGAAGGTGCTGTGGGGAGGACTTGCTTCCCTCTAGGAAAACAATCTCTTTCTCAACCACTTTATATTACACTACTGTGAAGTCTGGGATCTGCCATTTTGACACTGGTGGCCCTGCCTGTGGCAGGGGGGTTGGAGATTCATGACCCTTGGGGTCCCTTCCAACCCTGTGGTGCTGTGACACACTGCTACTGGTGTCCTGCACATCTGTCCCTGTATACCAAGCACTACCAAGGCACTGGATCTCACTGTCGACACTGCATCACTTGCAACTCCTGGCACATTTATCCTGGACCAACTGACACTGCACGCATCCCAGCCATGTGCTGGGGCCTTGGAGAGCCAGAGGGATGGCTATTGCTTTAGAACAGCATCCTCCAGAGCTTAAAAATTTCAGTCTTTGTTGGTTACCCCTGCATGGTCCCCACGCTACCTGCTGCAGTTCACCAATGAGCTTGTTCTTCTCCTCCAGAAGCTGCGTGCACAGCTGCTGCTGTTGGTTCAGCAGCTGCCACAGCTCCTGAGGGATTGTCATCTCCTTGGCCAAGGCCCACTTCGAGGTGATCTCCTCAAACTTGTCAGCACTGGTCCTGGCTTCATTCTCCAGCTTCTCCACCCTGTGAACAGTAAATGAAGATAAAACCAGAGCAAGGCAGCACTAGCAAAAATTCTGAGCAACGAACTGATGTCTTGCTCCAGCCAGCCTCCCACAAACTGCTCCTGCAGTGCCCTCCAAAGGCAACCAAGAGAAAGGACCCGGTGTTTTTTAGCTGATCTCTGCAGGCAAGGCTGAAACAGCCAGTCCTTTGGAGATCCCTCTGAGGAAGCTGCACAGGTCAGCCAAGGCAGCCGCAGAGCAATTGGAGAATAACCGAGGCTGGAAGAGACTCAGGAGCAGAGCAGGCTGTGCAAGGCCTCATTCAGGCAAGTGCTGAGTATCTCCAAGGAGGAAGCTCCCTACATCACCATGGGCCCCTGAGCTAGCATCTGATCACCCTCTCCATGAAGACATATATATGCACTTCCTCACATTAGCACAGCCTCACATTTTTCCCAATCCTCACACACAGCAGCCTGGTGTGGCTGGCCCTGCACATACTCATGCTATAGCTAACAATGACTCACTGCTAAAAACAGAAGGCAACCTCTGGAAACAGATCATTTACCAAGTCACATCTAAGCACTGGTTGGCATGTTCTCCAGCACAGTGTCACCTCTGGTCTTAGTGAGCTGCTTGGTCAGTCAGAAGTGAGGACAGCTGTATGAGCAAGGAGACCACAAGTATGTGGAACAGCCTTCTAGGCAGAAGCTGAGAACCAGCTGTATTTCTCCCAGTATGGAGACAAAGCTGTGATGGGTCTAGAGAAGACAGGTAACCAGAGTGCCTGGAGTACAGCAGTACCACTTAAGGAAGTCACTAGCCTTGGCATGCCACAGTCTGTAAACATTTATCTGTGGCAGGTGGGACCTGGGAGCTCTTGTGTGCCTAAATTTTTCCTTTGGAAATTAATTACAGAGCAATCCTAACTTTTAAGTGTATGTGGATGATCAGAGTTATGATGCTTTGCACGTAATGCAGTCATCTTGGGAAGTGCTCAGAGAGCTGCGCAATCATCCGTCACTCCTTCCCAGCAGAGCAAACCCACGCCACAGCCTCTTACCTCTGTAGCTTCAGCTCAGCCTGTTCTGCTCTCCTCTGTGTTTCCCTCAAGTCAGCAGCCACCTGGATATCTGTCACCATCCGTGTGCCTTCAAAGAGCAGCTTGGCCAGCTTCTGTGAAGGAGGTGGTACAAATACCTGACTTCAGCTCTGGAGGGAGGGATACTGGAGCTGCTCTCATTATGCTGTCAAGGCTCCAGATCCTATCCCCACACTGAGAAACCTGTGTAGATCCATAAACTCCATCTTCTCATTCTATGGCAAGGTTCAACAAGCACTGGAAAGACCTCAGTGCACCCACGGGTCCTCCTCCACTTGGAGAGCCCCGAAGATCAACAGCACCAAGAGGAACTGGCCCGTGCTCAGTGCACATTTCTGTTTTGCTTTCCCTGTATTTGGACAGTGAGATTTGAGTCTGGATGGACAGCTCCAGTCCCAGATCCTTCCAATCCATGGGCATTTTACTAGAGGGATATCTTGTCTTCAATATGTGGCCCATGAATCCCCTCCCACTTGGTCCTACAGAGCTTCTGCCTCTGCTTCCTCTCTCATAAAGGCTGCTGGGTGACACTGAGCACTGCATGAAGCCAAATGCCTACAGTTTAGGAATCCAAGAGGACCTTCCTGTCTTGTTGTCATACCTGCCGGCTCTCCTCAACCTGCTTGTGGCTGATTCTCTCCTCTCCCACCTCTTCAGCCTCCTCCTCTGGCTCCTCATTTTCTCCAAGGGCTTGCCTGAGCATGAAAGGGAAAAAGACAGAATCTTTTACGCACTATCTTCCTAATGTTGAGAGATCATCTTGCAAGGCTTGCGACTCCATCCCAGCACAGGCAACACAATTCAGCAGGCTCACCGTGCCCCAAAAAGCGCAGAAAAGAGGCAGCAAAAAGTGGACCAACCTCCTGGTCCTGGGCCCACAGCTCATGTGGGTTGGGGGATGCTGTAAGAATTGATGCCATCTCCAGGCAGGTGGTCCCTGAGGTTATGCTGCTGCTGGAAGTACTGGGGTCAGGGAGCCGGTATCAGTTTGGGGTGAAGTGGTACTGCTCTGAGGCTGTGTGCACCAATCCTTGGGCCCGTTTGGGGAAGAGGAGGTCATCAGGATGGTGGATTCCAGGGGGAAGGCACTGCTTTGGTGCTGGCTGGGGGCTGCCAGCTGGGATGCGGAGCAGGCCTGGCCTGTGGGGGCGTGGGGAAGGGCAGACCCAGACACGGCATGCTTCAGGAAGAGAGGCCTGGGCCGGACAAAGGCAGCAAGGGCCAGGAGGGGAGGGCAGAAGGCTCGTGACCAGCAGGACTCGGGGTGCGGTACCGCCGTGAGACAGAAGGACAGGCCGCGGGATGGCCGCCCCGCTTCTCACCGGCGCTGTGCATCGAGGCGGGCGGCGATGCGGCGGCGGCGAGCGGCGATCCGCTCCTCGGGGCCCGGCTCGGCCGGCTCCGGTTGTGGCTCCCGGTCCAGGCCCGGCTCCTGCCACCGCGGCCCCGCCAACTCCTCGCCCGCTCCGCGGCTCATGAGAAACCGCGTTGCCTGGCAACGTACGTACCGCGCACGCGCAGTGGTACGGCGCCGCCGCTGAGGCGTCGCGCTGTCGCCTAGCAACAAGGGTGCTGCGCATGCGCATAGCGACAGTCTGGTTGCTTTGCGGCTCTCCGTCGCCAGGCAACGGCACGTACGTGCGTGCGTCTAACGCCTACCGCCAGAGTTGCTGCGCATGCGCAGTAGAGCCAAGGGTGAGGCGGTGATCGCGCCTAAGGGGTGAGGCTATGGGCAGTGCCAGCAGAGCTGAGTCGGTCCTGAAGGGCGGAGGGGTCCAGGAAAGCTGGACGATGCTCAGGAAGGAAACCCTGAGATGCTTTTGTAAATCTATTAACTGCAAGAGGAGGGCCACGGAGAATCCCCTGCTTATTGGTGGGGAATGTTACTGCTGAGGACAAGGAAAGGGCTGAGGTTCTCAGTGCCATCTTCTTGCAGCTCCTTGGTGTTCCCTTCAGTTTTGGGGATATTCTATGATCCGTGGTTCTCTGATTAACAGCTGAGTACTGCAGAGAGCTTACACCAAAAACCTTGCCAAGCAAACCTGGTGTGCTTGAGCTTGTCCTCACTGCCCAGAAAGATTTCTCAGCTTGCAAATATTGTGTGCAGCTCAGCCCTGAGCAGCCATTGTGAATCAAAGCGATGTCACCATCATATCACAGTCATGGCCCTGATTTAGGGGGCTTCAGGATGCTCCAGTCTCTCTTTGACTGCATGGCAGAGTAAGCAGCTGAGGAGCATGGCAGTTGAGCTGGAAGAAGGAGAAGGGATGTGGGTAGGAGTGGGTGCCCTATGTTGCCCCAGCCTTTCGTCCCTTTGGGGTCTGCCTGGGTTTGTCAGCCTCCCCAGGGCTCCTTTCAGTGCTGGGTGTGCAGGCTGATGCTGCCAAATGGACTGGGATGGGCATGGGGAGCAAAGCTTGGGAGGCCAGCACTGGGATGTGCAGTCCTGGGATCCTGTGCTGTTGAGAAGGTGTTACTGTGGGAGTGATGGGATGAGCACGAGAGGAGCCTCGTTAGTAAGTTTTGTGTGTTGTGTTTTGGATGGGTCTGTTCAAGAGGACAACCACTGAGCCCGGACCTTTGAATCGCCATTGAAGATGTTTTGGCTCCTAGTCAAGTTATTCCTCATTGTTCAGCTGCAAATGGTCATGAAAATACTGGGCTTCCATACTTTTAGGAGACAACTCTGGTCATCAGCTCTGATAGTTGCCCTGTCCTTGCGGAGGGTGATGCTGCAGGTAAGGAAGGAGCTCACTCCCCAGCTTCCCAACTTCCTCCAGCATTGGGGCCCTCCTGGGCTCTTCTGGGCAACCTGGGCCAGAGGGATCCTACTGGGAGGGAGTTGTGCCTCACTAAACCTTCTTGTGTGCATACAGAACAGTGCTGTGAAAAGGAGCACAAGGAGAAGCACAGTCCGGAGGGAAACTGTGCAGAGGCACACGAGGAGATCAACGAGGATTGCAAAAAATCTAAAGAGGTGTGCATTATACAGGGTGGAAGAGCTACTGAGGGGTCAGGCTTGATCCAAGTGTTGCTCAAGAGATGTCCGCTGCCCTGTGCTCATGCCCACCACAGCCCCTTTGCTCAGAGTCCCTGTGTTGGAGTCCCTGGCCACTGGGCTCTTCACTATTCCCAGTATGGGTCTTCCTGCCCTGGGAATTCCAGCTCAAGGGGAGCCAAAGGGAGCCCTAAGATCCTCTCCACTTCTTTTCTCCCTCCTAGATTGAGACAGCGGATTCTGCACTATCAGCTGAGCTGTGGCTGCAGGTTTCATGTGGTGGATAGAAGAGACTGCATCCATTGTGTGCAGGCTCAGCCCCTCTCACCACCACCACGTGCACTGGGGTCATGTGCACTGCAAAGGGTGAGACGTATCTGTTCTGAGAATCGTTGAGATAATGTACAGAGATGAGAATGGCTGTAAGCAGCAGGTCAACGGCGAGCCCAGACTTGACAGCATAAAACACAAATATCCTAAAAACATCTCTGAGTGTTTCTTAAGTACTGAATGAGGGTCTTGCACACTTGAAGCTGGGCATGGTGGGTCATCAACGGCTGAATATTACAGAGAACTTACACGAGAGCCCTTCCCTCCCTCCTTCCCCACTCTACACAGTCAGAAATACTCTCTCGATGACTACAAACCCGCCAGAGAGAAGGATGGAGGGAGCTCACACTGTACCAGAAGATGTGGCTCCCTGTGAGCCTCAGGGCTGTCCAGCCAGTGCCAGTGCTGGGTAGGTGGCCCTGAAAGATGTTTGTGCTGCTGGATGCTTCCTTGCCTCCGCTAGTACCCCAGGGAGGGCAGAGCAAGGTCAGCCCCTTGCAGAGCCCCCAGATTCTCTTTCTCAATATCCCCTCAAGGAGCATTTGGGGAACATTCCAATGACTCCAGCATCTCAGCTCCAGCTCAGCTCTTGCACTCCTCACCTCTGCAGCAGGGTGCTGAGCTCTCTGGGGGGTGCCAACCACTGCCCCAGAGGGCAGAGGGCCACAAGACCCCATCCTGGGTGTTCTGCCGGGGCTGGCTGTGCACCACTGCCAGCCCAGGGGAATGATACCCAGCCTCACGGAAGGAGCTCCTCCAGCCCCATTTCTGTGAGTGAAGACAGGAATGCACAGATAAATGCAGAAGAGGAGGCCCAACAGGAGCGAAATATGTCCTGAGGCTGCCAAGAGGCTGTGGAAGGAGAAGGGCATGGGGCTGGGGCAGGCGGTGCTTCTGAGCTGGAGGTTGGATGCTCCCATGCTTCATGCTCCCAGGAGTTTCTTGACCATGTAGCCTGGCATGCTGTAGAGGAAGAGGGCCACCATGATGAGCAGCAACAGGGCCAGCACGATTTTGATGATAAGCCACTTGTAGCGGGTGCAGATAAGGTATTTGATGGACTTGAGAGGGTTGAGGAACCAGATGAAAGACGTGTCTGGACGGCTGCAAGGGAAGCAAACACCCTCATGAATGCCACAGTCATGGAGAAGGCAGGCAGCACAGCTAAAGAACCACAGGGTGGAAAGGGAAACCATGGGTCTGCCCCTGGGTAACCTTTGTGAGGGGAACTAGCAGGACATGTGCAGACAGACAAGGGCAGGGATGTGGGGGAGCCACTGGGAGCTGGTGTCTTGTTGGTCAGGACAAGAGAGGAGGAGTTGGGAGGCCAGAAAAAGGGGATGAAGCTAAATGGAAAGGGAGCCAGGCAGTGAGTAGTGGGCAACGGTGGGGAATCAAAGGAGAAGGGCCATTCCCATAACTTCCATCCCTGAGGTGTGACCTTTCTTCACCTCCCCATGCATGGGTCCCTCCCTGAGCACCACCCAGCAGCATCTCATAGGAGCCCTGGCATCTGCTGGGGAGATGGGTTTTCTGCTTACTTGGGTTTCTCCAGCGGGTCGGGCTCATTGCGAGCCAGCCCAGCAGGCGATTTCTCTGCCTCCTCTGCAGTCAGGAGGTGCAGTTCAGCTTCGACTTTGCCCTGAAGGGAGAGAAGGATGCTGTGCCCCAGGCTATGCTCCCTGCCTGGCCCACAGCCATGGTGATAGGGGGGCCTAAGGGAGCAGAGAGGAGTAGGGAGATGGTCTGCAATGACTGTGGTCCCCAGGGTGGAAAATCACCCCCTTCTCCCCATCCTTACGGTGATTTCCAGCTCGTCATTCTCATCCCTGGCCACAAATGGCCACCAGCCCTTCACCCTCTTTTGCTTGAAGATTGAGACCATGGGCAGCTCTGCCTCGTTTGTCACCATTTCCAGACTGCACTGCTTGGATGTCTTGGCTCCCCGGGGAAAGCGGTTCAGGTCCAACTCGATGGCCCCTGGCAGGAGACAAGGAAGCATAGATGTTGGCACCCCCAAAACACAAATCCTGGACTGGAGACGGGCTTGGCCATCATCTCCTTCCCTGGAAAACTATTCTGAACTGCTTTGGGAACTAAAAAGCTGATGTCTGCTTTCAGGACCAGCCTTTGAACAGCAGCAGAGAAGATAAGGGCTCTGATCCTATATACATTTACAGACAACATCCAAAGGGATCTGTAAGATGTAGTGGGCTTGAGGACCAGGGCTGCCCTTCTGAACTCTGCTCCTGTCCAGGTGTTGCCTCACCTACACCACCCCCTGCTCCTCCAGCCCCAGATAGAACCCTGCTGGTTGTCCCACTGCCCCAGCTCAACAGACCCCCGCCTTACCAAGGAAATCATCGGCTGAGAAGTGGTCAGCATCCCAGACCTGCAGGGTGAGGCGAGCTGGGATCTTGTACTCGGTCTCGTCCCAGGAGAACATGGATTCTTTTTTGGAAATGACAATCTTCTCTTCTGCCATCAGGTAGTCAAAGGGGAAGATGTAACGCCAGTTGAAGTTGCCTTCGCCGGTAAGCGAGTGGTAATGGACGTCTGTGTCTTGCTTGTCCTCCTGCTGACCTTTCAGCCACCTGCAAAGCCCAGAGGGGTAGAACTCTCCAGAAAGGAGGAGGGGGCGTGGGGCCATCCTGTGTGTGCAGCCAGGATGCCTCCAGGCCAGCAAGGCATGGACAGACTGGAAGGACCTAAGAGGCTTAAGTGATGAGCTGGGCTGCTTGAGTCGCTCTGTGATTCTGTGAATCACTGCAGCAGCCCCAGAGGAGGGACCTAGAGGGAACAGTGGGGTTTGAGTGCAAGAAATTCAAGCTGGCTGCTGGGAATATTTCTTCAGGAAGGAGGATGGTGGTGGTGGACAGGAGCAAGGAGCATTACATGGGAATCTGGAGCAGAGCATGCTGGAGTGGTATCCCCATCCCACACAGTTGGAGTGGACAAGCCCAGAGGTTGCTGTATAGTTCTTCTCACTCCACCATGGGGTAGTCTGAGCTCCACCAACTTTAGGTGTTCGTGCAGAGGCAGCTCAGTCTGTACTGGTCACTGTGGGTTCCCTATATCAGGCTGCATCTATTCGAGCCCATCAGGAAGATTTAGAGTCTGATGCAGGCTCTGCTTCTGGGTGGGGTGGACTCTGCTGACCCAATCTCTGGTGACAGGACCGGAGGTGCCCAGCTTGGCAAGGCATCGCATCACTGGAGACAGTGTTGGTGCTATCTAATCTCGCACCCACATCTACCCCCAGACTCACCCTGTGTCCCCTATAGCACCAGCACTCCCATGGCTGAGGCAAAGGAAGTGACCGTGCTGTACCTACCCCCTGACAAAAATGTCACTGGATTTCTCGCCAGTGAAGTAGTCATCATCTTCCAGGATGACCTCGTCTGTGTTCCACACTATCACTCTGAGCTCATACCTGGCAGGAGAAAGGGAGACAAGGAGGTGAAATGGTGGGGAAGGGGAAGGAGGAAGGGAACAAGGGGGATGGGAGACTGGTTCCAGGCATGGGGAGCACAGGGATCTGCACATGGGGATCTGCTCACAGGGATCTTATCCAAAGAAAGGGACCAGGGATGGGTAAGAACTGGGATCAACTGACTTCAGGAGGGGTCAGTGGAGCAGCTTTACTTTCTTTCTCCTAAGCTTCTGCACAGTCCAGGCCAGAGGATCTAGGGGACAGCATGGCTTGATAGCTGGGTAGATTTATCACTAAAACAGTCTGTGTCAGCTCTTCCAGACACAGCAGGGCCATAATGGAATCCCAGCCCCCCAGCTGGAGATCTCCTCCTGTGCCAGCAGGGCTGCCCAGAGCAGGTTGCCCAGCAGTCTTCATAATCAGCAGAGTTTGTCTTATGGCTAGGTACAAAACACCCCTGTTTATTCAGACCCTCTGTCTCCTTTCCAGGGCCTCATTATCAGCAAGTTGAGACTCAGTGAGGCCAAGCTGACCTCTCCATCTCCCACAGGAGATCCCCAGCGAAAAACCCCCACAGTTTTCTGTTTCCTGTGCCAGGGCTCCAGCACTAGGTTACAGGTCACTGCTGGACGTGGCTGTCCTGGGCTGCCAGATAAACCTCTACTTTTCCTCTGTGCTAGTGTCTGGACATTGCCCTTGGCCTTGGCTTTCCAGCAGCCTCAATCTTGAGATCCCAACTGCAGCCCTCTGGAATCCAGAGAAATTCTCTCCATCCAAAACCTCGTCTGCAGTGCATGTGAATGCAAAAGATTCCCAGTGGGATCCCCACTCTACACTCCTGGGGTGGGAAAAGGACACAGTGCAGTAGAGTAAGGCAGGACTAGGAAAGATGCAGAGGGAGGAAACGTGTCTTCTCTCCAAAGGAGGCAGGAGAGGCCATTTTGACAGTGCCTGCTCTGTCCTGCTTGGGTTGACCAACCCTGTCTCAGTGGCAGCCCTCTCCTCCTGAAAAGAGCCCATCCAAACTGACCAGGAATGTCATGCCCTAACATAACGCTGCCACTATTGGGGCTGGGATGGCAGTTCTAATTTCCTAGTCTAGGCAGACACAGCAAAATCAGGAGCTGCCAGGCAGAATATTTGAGGGCTCTGGAAGCTCCAAAAGGGTAAGACATCACTTGGTGCCTCCATTCTTAAGATGTCTGGAAGTGCCTGAGTAGCTGGAGTGCCTGGACAGAGGGCTGGGCCGTGGAGAAACACAAGTAGTGGGAAGAAGCAGGACTGTGCCCCCAGCCATAGTTTTTCCCAGTGATCATTTGATTGGGACATTCCTTACTTCTTTGGTTTCCTGGGGGAAATATCAATGGCAGGGCCAGGTGCTGGCATATCCATGGGGAACATGTCCACCCACATCTCCAGGCGACCCTGCAAGGTTGGAGAGGTGCAGTCAGCTCTCTGGCCCCTCCTTGCTCCTCGTACCCACAGCATTCCCCTGAACTCCTGCCCTTCAGCGTCAGTCTGGTCATGCCAGACGTGGGGTACAATCTGGCCCTGCCCACCCTCATGACATGGTGTGGTGCTGAGATGCATGGGCATGGAGGAGT